TCTGGTAGCATAGTGCCTAAGGCACTTGACTGCTAACCAGAAGGCTGGTGGTTCAAACCCACCAGCCACTCCTCAAAAGGAAGATGGGGCAATCTACTTTCGTAGTGATACTGCCTTGGAAACCCAAGGAGGGGTCTCTATGAGTCAGGTCCAACTCAGTGGCACATAACAGCAGCAACAACAACATGATTCTCAGTGGTTTGGCAATGTTGTATGTCCATTGGCTGAGCAATGATTCTCAGTGGTTTGGCCGTTATGAAATGATGTAGTCATCCTCCATTTTTGCATAATGCCAGTTTTCATGTAAAGACCTGGTCTTTGGAACCTAACTATGTGATAAGTGGATTTATTTATATAGTCATCAGTTGTTGGGCATTTATGTTGTTTCTATTTCCTGACTATAATGAATAATGCTGTTATGAACATTCATGCACAGGTTTTTGTGTGGACATGTTTTTAATTCTTTTACATATATACTTAAGAGTGGAATCGCTGGATCATATGGTAACTTTCTGTTTAACAATTCGAGGAACTGCCAGACTGTCATCCAGAGCGGCTGCACCATTTTCCATCCCCACCTGCAGTAGATGAGCATTCCAGTTTCTCCACATCTTCATTAACACTTGTTATTGTCTGGTTTTGATCATAGCCATCTTAGTGGTTGTGAAGAGATGCTTCATTGTGGTTTTTGATTTGATTTTCCCTGATGGCTAATGCTACTGTGCATCTTTTCATGTGCTTGTTGGGTCATTTCTTTTAAATACGTTCTTCTTTTAAATACATCCCTAAGTCTTTTTAAAATTTCTCATGTTATGGTATCTTTGATCTTTAACGTATTCTAAAATTCTATAATCTGGCCATCCCATTGCTTTGCTTCATTTATTCATTCATTCAGTTAATATTTTTTGACCAATTACTGTGTAGAAGGTATTGAGCTATGTGCCTTTAGGCATGTGCAGTGAATAAAATGTCTTCTGTTTCAAAGAGTACAAAGCAGAGGAGGAAGAGAAGTATCATGATAATAAGTTTCTGTAGGTGTTCAGAGGAAGAAGAGATGACTTTTATCTTGAGGAATCAAGGAAAACTTCCTGAAGGAGGTGGCATTTTAACTGGCCTTTGCAAGATGGGTAGGATTTACATACAGGAAGATTGGGGAAGGTGCCTGAGTAAAGATGATGACTAGTTTAGTTTAACTTTTAGTGCTGAAATATTCAGGACTCAAAAACAACAATACTAAGAATAAAGACTGGAAAGGTAGTTGGGACCAGCTGGTGATTTTGAATTCAGAAGCAGTCTGGACAAGACTGGCAAGCCATTGGATGCTTTCAATATTAGCTAGTTCAGTTTTTGTGGAGGCCCAGAAAGGAGCACATCCATATCCAAAACTGAAAAACCAAACCAGTTTTCAACTCATGGTGACTTCGTGTTTCGGAGTAGAACTGTACTTCACGGTTTTCATGTTGGTGACCTTTTGGAAGCAGCCCACCCAGACCTAAACAAAGAGTCAAGATTGGATCACCGGTGTCCTGACTCCCAGAACAGATACCGTCCAAATCCCAGAACAGATGTTCTCTGTGATTTTACTAAAATGATTGTAACCACTTTGGCCACATATTCAACAATAACAATACAGCCTGTTGTACAATGCAAGGTGTTAGGGTACAGTCCTCGAGGATGAGGTTCCAAAGATGTTTGAAGGCACATAACTGACCAGAGCTGTTCCTGCCCTTCTGTCTTGTGGATTTTTTTCTTCCCACTCTTGTTTCCTTTGCTGTAAGCCTTGTTGGGCCAGCACAGTGTTTAGGAGGAGGCCTTGGCGGCAAAGAGGGCGCTGGGGTTTTAGCCTACATTAAGCCCCTTCATTGTGTGACCCTGGATAGGGCAGTCTATCTGGAGTGTCGTTCTCTCATCTACAAAATGAAGGAATCTGTGCTCAAAAGGCCTCTTCTAGTACTAACACTCTGAAATGCTGATGTGGCCTAGCATGCCATGTACATATCATCTCTAGAGCCTCTGGTAGAGAAATTGCAGTCCTAGGGGAGAAAGACTGGCTGTGGTTCTTTCATGGGTAACCTGGTTAGGGATCACCAGTGATTTTTCCAAAGGATTCCTTTGGACTTTTTTCTTTCTGTGTCAGACATCAGGGATTCAGTCTTAAAAATAAGCAGTGTGTCAGTTCGATGACCTTAAAATGGAAACAAACATAAGAATTTATCTTGGTGTTAGGTGCCGTCAAGTCGGCTCTGACCCATAGCGACCCTGTATACAACAGAACAAAACACTGCCCGGTCCTGTGCCAGCCTCACAATCCTTGCTGTACCTGAGCCCATTGTTGCAGCCACTGTGTCAGTCCGTCTCCTTGAGGGCCTTACCCTTTTTCCTTGACCCTCCACTTTACCAAGCATGATATTATTCTAGGATGGAAATTGTGGAGTAGAATAGGAATGTTGTTCTTAACCCCAGAGTTTTGTTTCTCGGGTAGCCACTTATGTTGGTGTGATGGGTGATGACGCCTTGTTATGGAGGGATTTGAATTTGTTGTGGTGGTGGTTGCTTTCCATGGTAACTCTGTTGCTACACATCTGGCATCCTATGAAATGTGCATTGCAGACCAAAGCCCAGGGGTCTGCACTGGCCCTGAGAACTCTTTATCTTCTCTTATCCCCGCCAAGGATGTTGAGAAACACGGGTGGAGGGTATGGTCAGTCTGCGTCATTTTGATCAGGTTCAATTTGCAATTGTGGCAGTTATTGGGGATATCACCAGGGCTCCTCAAAAAGTTATCTGGGCTTGGGCTTTACTTTGGAAACACCCTGTTCCCTCTCTATGGAGGAGGAGAGTACCAGAAAGGTGGGAGGGATATTTGGAAATTTATAATTTATCAAGGTATAAATATGAGCACTGCTTTTTTGTTTGTTTGTTTGTTGTTTAAACTGAAATACTAAATAGGACGTAGAGTCAGCTAAAATCTTACTGAATTTCTGAGTATAGCAGGCCAGCCTAGGACCTGTTTTTTGGGTATTTCATTTAAGATGGAAAGTTTCAGTTTGCTTTGGTGCCAGAACCCTTCAAAGAAACCCTGACTTTAGGTGTATTATGGGTCACCGTATATTTGCTAGTTTACATCTTGCTGACTCAATTGGCAAACTTTTTATTTTTCCTGGTAAACATTCAGAAGGCTTTTTCCTCACTCCTTTCCCTAACAAAATGATACTTGTCATATGTGTATGAAGTAAACGACTGTTAAAACCCCCCACACATCTGTGATGATATGAAAATAAGTGGTGGCAAACAAAGGTTTCCTTTCTCAGGGACCACAAGGCCTCAGATGAAGTTGACTTTCACCTAATATTATGCTCAAGTGGAGACCAAATTGGTCCAGGCCTTGAGACCAACATGTACAGCAACAAAAGGGCCATTATTTGTGTAAAATGTAGGTGTCCCTCCCCATATGACTTAGAAAGTTTGAAGCTGTCTCTCTTAAAGTAATTATTACTCTTGTTTATAATTTTTAGAAGGTATGCAACCTTTATAGATCATATAAGGTTATGCTTATTTTAATTCATAATAAGGAAAAAGTTACCACTGAGCACAAAGCATTTAAAACAGGAATGAAAAACACCAAGATGTCTTGTTAGATCAGACTGTGAACTTCAACTTGACTGTCTAACTTGGAAAAATGTTTTCCAAACTGCACCTATGAATACATACGTTTGTGACAAATTATATGCAGAACTCTATGCCAGTAATAATCATAATATTTTTAATGTGCCATTTTTAGTATATTATAAAAAGAAACCGTTTTATTTCTCATTAAACAATGTATTTTTTATTTCTTTTAAGTGATTTTGGCAAATATGTGAACTATCAACCTATGCATTTTCCTCATTCTTTAAAAAAAATGATATACTGAAAATATAATAAAAGTGTAACAAGCAAGAAAAGTGAGTTTGGAGTAGTGGTTTAATGAGCTTGAGTTTAGTTATTTTCTTAAAGGTAAGGAATTGAATGCCCACATGTCAAAAGAACTTCAATGCTTTAAATTAACTTTTGAGATTGTTTATAGTAAATATGCCTCACTCTTGTTCCTTTGTTGCAACTTTTATTTTTAAACTCTACCCTAAAGAGTTATTGTGCTCAAAAACCACGTTTATGTAAAATGTCTCATGCTTGGCAGCTGATCCTGTACTCAGACCATATTCTGAGAATGGCAGGCGGCCCACCCCCTTGCCAAAAACTTTCCACTGGGAGTAGTTTTGCAAGGGGCAGGGCAGGCGGGGGAGCCAGGGGGACTGTGATGGGGGCATTGCTCCTGCTTGACCACTCCGTCATCTCTTTGCGTAGGTGAAGCTGCTCTCAGGGGAGAGCCCAGAATGCAGACCCTCCCCGTGGCCTCTGCCCTCACCAGCCACCGCACAGGCCCTCCTCCCATCAGTCCCAGCAAGAGGAAGTTCAGCATGGAGCAAGCGGACGATGGCCTAGACTGTGAAAACGACCATGTTACCAAGATGAGTCGCATCTTCAGCCCCCATCTGTAAGTGCCTTCTTATGGACGTGTGGACATTTTTACTTTGGCTTGCATGCACCTCAGTGCTAGGGCCATGTTAGTTCTTCCAGTCAATGGCTTGACTCTGCTGATTATGTAGAAGGGATATATGGGCTCTTCTGTCACTGGAAGTATTCATCTGATTTCAACAAACTAACAGACAGATGAAATGTTATTTCTCTCCGACCTGCCTGTATGGCCTGGCCATTCATGCATTTTCCTATGGACGCTAACTTTCCATTAGAGGTTTTTGAGGTGGTTATCTGAAAATGTTCCTTTTTCTCGCCTGTGTGTGTAATGATTATTGTTATGAGAACCAGTGTTTGTGGATGTCTTTATGTGCTACAGAAATAGAAGGAAAGGTTAGCTCCCGGGTTCTATAAAATTTTATACTGTGGGATCTAGAATTGTACACATTCAGAAGTTTTCATTTTTACTATGTATGCTCACAATTAGGAGCACTGGTAACGTAGTGCCTAAGGCACTTGACTGCTAACCAGAAGGCTGGCGGTTCAAACCCACCAGCTACTCCTCAGAAGGAAGACTGGGCAAACTACTTACTTAGAGATACCTCCTCAAAAACCCAAGGAGGGGTCGCTATGAGTCACGATCGACTTGATGGCAGTGAGTTTGTTTTGTGAGTTTGATACTCACAATATAAATTTGAGACTTTCCCAGAGAGACAGAGATGTTGCATTTATGATAAGATGCTTCTCATCACATCTGTGGGAGCCTGTAGTGGCTGGGAGATCTGAGTGCTAGTCCTCAATTTGCCACCATCACACACTACATTCTTCACATGAGTTGCTTCAACTCTTTGGGCCTCATTTTCTTTATTTGTGAAACAAAAGGTTAAAACTAAAGTTTTTCTTAGTTTGTGGAACATTGCTACGTTTATATTTGAAAATTAGCTTTTGCCCAGTATCCTGTATTCTGGCTTCTGTGTGTTTTCTCCTCAGTGCACACATTTCATGTGCAGGGCATGAGGTGCTTAATTACATGTTTTCAGGACTTAACTGATAACCAAGCCATCTGTCCAGCACTGTGGCTGGCTGTTAGGATAGGTATCAGTGTGGTATCAGCTGTGGTGATGTGTGTGTGAATATTGGAAGGAGTGCTTGTATGCCTGGGTGAAAAAGGTCCTGTTTTCTTTTCCCCTCCTCATGCTCTTTTCCCAAGGATGAATAAAAACCTAGAGAATTCATGTCTTATAATTGGTGAAGATGTTCCTCTTTCCCAGTTCTTATTTCTGAGGATGCAGCTATTTTGGGCAGGAATGTAAAGCCCGGAGAGTCCCCGGCTGGCTTCCTCCTTGTAGGAAGGGCCGTTCCGCAGCTGGAGGCGGCCTGACCACTGGCCGGCCCTCCTGCTGCTGCCTCAGCTTAGGCAGGCCTCGGCGTGCCACACATTCCAATCTGCTCGGCCTGTTGTGTTCAGTCATAAGACACTGACAGAGGTATTTACCCTCAAATAAATCACTGTAGTGTTAGTCAGAGGCTGAGCCTGCAGTCTGGGCCCTGGAATTTGCTACGATAGGGAATCCAGCACCAAGGCAATGTGAAAACAATGAACTCTCTCGCAAGCAGGGAGAGGCTCCTAACTTAAATCCTGGTTACTTTAACTATTTGGACTTCATGCTTTTGTTAGTAGGACTTTTCTTTTTCTTTCACACCCTCATTCCCCAAACCCAAACAAGAGAAATTTTGACCTTGTTTTGTCTTGTTTTTTGAGGAAGTAAACGAAGGCAGCATACCTTATTTTAAATCCTTATTCTCCTACTTACCAGCTGTGAGGACTTGAACAAGTCACCGTAATTTACCTGGGCACAGTTTTCTTTATTTGTAAAGTGTCAGTGATGATAGTTAATTATAGAACTATTATGAGGATTGGAGCTAAAATACAAAAATAGCTTGGCACAGTACAGTTGGTGGTAACTTTAATTTTTTGTGGAGTCACTGAGTGGTAAATGCTTAACATGTTTGGCTGCTAACCAAAGGTTTGTGTCTACCAAGAGGTCTCTTGGAAAGGCCTAGGGATCAACTTCAGCAAAGTATACCATTGAAAACATACATGGGGTCACCATGAGTCGGAATCAACTCAGCGAAAGCTTTATTTTAAGTATTAATGATTACATCATGTAGATATTGGTGATGATAGCAGAGAAGAAGAGTACTGCTGTGGTGATTTTAATGTCTGGGAGTGTGCACTATAGTCAGAATGCCTGCGTTCAAATCCCTGCTTCTCTTTCAGTGCAGGTAATAATAATACCTATCTTACAGGCTTATTGTTAAGTGTTTAATACAATGCTTGGCAAATAGTAACCACTCCACTGCAGTGATGATTAATATTATTCATAGATTTTTTTTTTTTTTCGTAGCATTTAGAAAGTGATTTTTTAACTCCCCAAGGAACTAGCTTGGACTAGGAGTTGTAGAACTATGGTGGTATTGTATACAATTTTCAGTGTTAAATAATAAAAATAAACAACAATGAAAAAAACCCATTGCCATCAAGTCATTTCTGACTCATAGCGACCCCCATTGGGTTTTCAAGGTGGTAAATCTTTACGGAAGTAGATTATCTCATCATCCTTCTGTGGAGTGGCTGATGGATTTGAGCCACCAAACTTCTGGTTAGCAGTCAAATGCCTTAGGCCCTGTGCAACCATCAGATTGCTAAATTTCACGTGCAACACACACTTGACATCATTATGGAAAGTTTCAGAAAAGAGGAACACCAGCCCCCCACTTACCAGACTCAGGGACTCACGTCCCTATGGAAGGAGGAATGCTGGTCAGTGTTTGCTATTTCATTTTGTGTGTCGTCACTTGTTTACCGTCCAATGATTAGTTCAGTAACATCAATAAGTGTTTTCTAAGAGCTTGGTGATGGATCTCACAGGGAAATTGAAAATAGACTGCATGTTCCACATCTTCATCATGTGGGTCCTTAGTAAGCACTGTTGTTTGATTCGATGAAATGTCTTCTACCTGAGCTATATGTTCCCTCCTTTTTATTAATATGCAAAAAAGCTTTCTGGAGTAACTTACAGATTCATACTTGTTTAGAAAAGAATGCTCTGGTGTATTTGTCTCTTTAGGAGATTGCAAAATGACTTTTGCTTTTTTAGCTTCTTGGAATATGTTTAAGAATGTGTAATGGAAATGTGTTTTGTTTATTCTATCACTAAGTCCCAGTATTTCTAGGGAAAGAGTGTTGTTGAAAACAGTTTTGGCAGCTAGCTGGAGGGTCTTGAAGGTACACACTTTGGCTATATTTCCTTCTAACCATCCTACTGAGATATTTGCCAGTTGAGAGATGGAGAGATGGAATGGCTGTGAGCCAGAGTAGGAGGCTGTAGAGAAGGTGACTGCATTTCATTTAATTTGATTGGGGGTGTGTGTGGGGGGGGGGGCGGGGGTAGGTGGAGAAATTGCCTTCATGATTTCTCCAGAACAGGAAAAAGGACAATTTCTGGGCTCTTAAGCCATCCTTATACGACTGGGTCATTTGAATGCTTTATTAATTTTCTTGGTAACCCTGAGAAGTACCTCTTGTTATTTGTTTTCTACGAACAGCGTTAAGAACATGAATATTTATTGGAAGTTGAAAAGTACTTTCAGTCATTTGGAAAGACAGTGAATTAGGAAACAGGATAGGGTAGAGTGGAGTTTGTCTTGTGCACATGTCAATACCAAAAAAACCAAACTCACTGCCATTGAGTCGATTCCGACTCATAGTGGCCTCCATTGGGTTTCCAAGGCTGCAAATCTTTACGGAAGTAGATTGCTCCCTCTTCCTTCCACGGAGCGGCTGGTGGGTTTGAACTGTTGACCTTCTGGTTAGCAGCCGAGTGCCTTATCCACTACGCCACCAGAGCTCCTTGGAAATGTCAATAAATAACCTTATTTCTGATCCTGGTTTTCAGGTGTGACTTGGTAAGGAAGAGTCCCCTCCCTTTTCCTTTGTCTGTGTGTCTATTTATTTACTGTTCATAAGGACTCATGGATTTCTGTTTTACTCAATGGGTTATAATTGCCCCAGATTTGTCATAAAAGAATCCCTTCCGTTGGCTCCTTTGTTCTTGTAACAGTCTTCCATTAATTACTTAATTTTTTTGGACCTTTCTTACTTTCTGGCAAATAAGGTGTTCAAGGTTTATCTTGTAACCTACCTGCCCAGCCATAGAATCAGCCATTTCTCCAAGGAGCCCTGGTTCCTTTTAGTGGAGAACAGTATTTAGAAGCCAAGATCTGGGTGCTCTGTGTGCTTATTGAGACTGTAGTGCCATTGCTTCTCGACTTGACTTATCCAGTATGGTAGACATTAGCCACATGTGCCTGTTTACATTTAAAATAAAATTAAATTAAAAATTCAGTTTAGTTGCACTAGCCACGTTCAAGTGCTTAGTAGCCACATGTGGCTAACGGCTACCATATTGGTCACACAGACATAGATCATTTCTGTCATCACTGGAAGTTCCACTGGACAGCACTATTTCTAGACCCTTTAGACAGAGCCTTAGACAGAGCCAGGAATGCATGAGGTCATACTAATATTCCAATTCTAATCTTTATTCCATAGTTGTATTCCCTCCTTCCACAGTAAGAACCATTTACTCATTTATTCAGTCCTACAACATCCATAAAATAGTTTCAGAATTGGCATGTCCATACCACTGTGGGGGAGCTCTGGTGGCAAAACATCTAAGGCATTTGGCTGCTAACCAGTAGGCTGGTGGTTCATACCCACCAGCCACTCCTCGGAAGGAAAATTGAGCAATATACTTCCATAGAGATACAGCCTCAGAAACCCAAGGACGGGTCGCTATGAGTCGAATTGACCCGACAGCAGTCAGAGTTCACCGCTATGGAAAACAAACCACCTACAAAGAGCTCACAATTTGTTTGCAGTTCTTTTTACCCTGTGCTGAAGTTATAATAGCCTGAGTACCAACTTCATTTCAGTGTCTTTGTGTTATTTGAAAT